AGCAACCACATCAAAAAGGAGTGCGCAGACTACAGCGCTCTGGGCTTCCCCTGAGACCAATGCAAACTCTGATGGCTCAAAATCGTTTCTCCGCCCCTCCCTTCCCTTTCCCTTCAGGCCCACAAGTCAAAGCTGTAGTAGGAGGTGATCCCTTGCTCCTTGACAAGGAGGAATGACAATGCAGTGTGCGCAGGCACTCAGCGCATTTTGGGGCTACTTGTTAAGGCTCCAGAAGAAAAAAAAAGATCCTCGCTCTGATTATTCGCATGGTTTGTCTCAAAATTTGCTTCCCTGAGAGTTTTCGAATGAATTTAACAAAAGTCTTTTGTTGTCCTATTAGGGTGAGAGAGCAGCAACAATCTAGCACAGAGAAGCGCACTGAATATAGTTGCTTGAGAAACTCAGCGTTAACTCGATGTGACTTTGGGAGATCCATGACCAGATCTTCCCCCTTTCCACTGCCAAAGATAAATGCCACTGTGGGGGATGGGGTGGGGAATTGTTTTGTCTATTAACAAAATGGTTGGATTATAATTAGTGGGTGGCGCTGTGGTCTAAACCACAGAGCCTAGGGCTTGCCGATCGGAAGGTCGGCGGTTCGAATCCCCGCAACGGGGTGAGTTCCCATTGCTCAGTCCCTGCTCCTGCCAACCTAGCAGTTCGAAAGCATGTCAAGTGCAAGTAGATAAATAGGTACCACTCCAGCAGGAAGGTAAACGGCGTTTCCGTGCACTGCTCCGGTTTCACCAGAAGCGGCTTAGTCATGCTGGCCACATGACCTGGAAAAACTGTCTGCGGACAAACGTCAGCTCCCTCGGCCAGTAAAGTGAGATGAGCGCACAACCCCAGAGTCTTTCGCTACTGAACTTAACTGTCAGAGGTCCTTTACCTTTTTTAATGTATATCACTAATCTAATAGTATAGGCAACTCCCCATTTATGTGTGTTCGAGGCACGTGCGGCCGCACCTAAGCTCTAAGAGAGTGCAAAAATTGTGTGACAATAGTGTCTAGCAATCCTACAAGCCTTTGCAAGTGCTGTCCCAGGAGCCATTGCACCAAAGTTTGAGGTGAGTTGGAGTTTGAGCAAGGAAGTTTGGAGAGAGCGATTGTGGTGGAGTTTGCAGGTCTTCCCAAAAAACACAATTTCACTTAAACGTACAGTGCCTCAGAACGTCAATGGGGAGTTGCTTGTATGCTTAGGTGCTGCTGAGTGCCAACTATGCAGCCAAAACAGGACCACTGAGGAAGGAAAAGAAGGTGTGAACAAGCTTGGAGGAAGGTTTCTTGGACCCAAGCTTGGACCCAAGGTTTATAGAAATACAAAAATATTTCAGCGGTGGCAATGGGGAAACAATGCTGAGAAACCACCAGCCTTATGAGTATGCTTAGGGGCTGAGGAATGCTGTTGGTGGGAAAAGAAGAAAGCTAATGGGCAAGGGGCAGGGCGGGGGGGGGGCAGAGATTGTGTTGGAAAAGGGTACGGCTGATTGGCAGGAACCCTGACCAGGAATACTGAAAACTGTTTGTTGCAGCTTCCACTTGTTCTAGACAATTTGCATGATGAGCAACTTTATATATTAATATTTAAATTGTGGTTTCAGTTATTGAGTAGCCTCCTCTTCCTCTCTCTTGTACAGTGGTACCTTGGTTTAAGAACATCTTAGTTTATGAACAACTTGGATTAAGAACGCTGCAAACCCGGAAGTAGGTGTTTTGTGAACTTTGCCTTGGAAGCAGAACATATTCTGCTTCCTGTTGAGTGTGTTTCATTTGTAAATTGAGACCCCCGCTGCTATGGGAAAGCACGCCTTGGTTTAAGAACGCTTTGGTTTAAGAACCGACTTCCAGAACGGATTAAGTCCGTAAACCAAGGTACCACTGTATCTGTTGCTGTCCCTTCCAAATATATTTACAGTAGAAGGGTTAGGCAGTGTTGTGATATGTCTCCGTTTCTCATGACACCCTTCTATCTGACTGCTCTACCATCCTTGGGCAGTCATCCACTCTTTGGAAAGCCCTCGTTTTTGGCACAAGCTGGCCCTGCTGCAACCCAGAGGGTCTTACTAAGTAGAGTGTTGCACGACACTCCAACCTCTGATCAGTGCGAGAGTCCAGGGGTTCCAGAAGCTTAGCCAGGGTCCATGTTTCCTTTTGTAAATGAGGCACAATGGAGACTGTGGAGTCTTTATGATACGTAGTTAAATCAGCATGCCCCAGTTCAGGTCAAGAATCAGCTAAATTGACTCTCCAGAGGAAATATAGATAGATGTTGTAGTAGTATAGTAATGTTTTGAAACTGAAAACACTGCATAAAAACCACTTGGAAAAGCCCTCCACTTTAAAATGAATGCTTCTAGATCAGTGTTTCCCAACCGGTGTTCCGCGGCACACTAGTGTGCCGTGAGACCTTGCCTGGTGTGCCGTGGGAGGGAGGCGGGCGGCGAGAGGCGGGGCGGCGGCGGCATCTCCTGCTGGATGCAAATCCAAACATGGCGGGCGCCTCCCTCGCTCCTTTGTAGGTGGACCATCGAGAGAGAAAGAAAAGGAGGCGAAAGAGCGAGAGAAGGCGCCTGCGCGGAAAGAGGAGCGAGCAGTGCGCCTGCGCGCCGCGGCGCCCGAGATCGCTTCTCCCCACCGCCCCTTGCTTCAAAAGAGGTCCGGGGACAGCGGGAAGCGCTTTGCGCTGCCCCCGGACCTCTTTTGAAGCAAGGGTTTGCGGGGAGAAGCGATCTCCCCGCAGCCCCTTGTTTCAAAAGAGGTCCGGGGGCAGCAGGAAGCGCAGCGCTTCTTCCCCGCTGCCCCGGACCTCTTTTGAAGCAAGGGGCTGCGGGGAGATCGCTTCTCCCGGTGCTCCGAAGCGGGGCGGTGGGGCGGGAACCTCTCCCCCCGCCGCCGGGCATCGGAACGATGCCCCGATGCCGGGCGGTGGGGCGGGAACCTCTCCCCCCGCCGCCGGGCATCGGAACGATGCCCCGATGCCGGGCGGTGGGGCGGGAACCTCTCCCCCCGCCGCCCGGCATCGGAACGATGCCCCGATGCCGGGCGGTGGGGCGGGAACCTCGCACCCCGCCGCCGGGCATCGGAACGAGGTCCTGGACCTCTTCTGAAGGCAGGCGGGGGCAAAAGTCTTTGCTCCCCCCGCCTGCCTTCCCGGGACAGCGGAGACTTCTCCGCTGCCCCGGGCGATCTTAAAATGCTGGCGGGCGGGAGCGAAGCGTTCGCTGCCAACCCCCAGCATTTTAAAATCTCCTCGGGGCAGCGGAGACTTCGCTCCCGCCCGCCAGCATTTTAAAATCGCCCCGGGACAGCAGGGGCTTTTAAAATGCCGGCGGTCGGCAGCAAAGCCCTCCTGTCCCCAGAGCTTGCGGGGCGGGAGGTGGGAAGAAGGGCTTTTCTTCCCACCGCCAGCCTTCAGAACAGCCTTCTGAAGGCTGGCAGTGGGAAGAAAAGCCCTTGTTCCCCCCCCCCCAGCCTTCAGAAGAGGTCGGGGGACAGACTGTCCCCGGACCTGGTCTGAAGGCGGTTTCCCTAGGAACGCATTAATTGATTTTCAATGCATTCCTATGGGAAACCGTGCATCGCAAGACGAAAAACTCGCAAGACGAAGAGACTTGCGGAACGAATTAATTTCGTCTTGCGAGGCACCACTGTACTTTTTATATAGTCAATATAGGCACAGAGTTAAATTTTTTAACATTTTCTAATGGTGGTGTGCCTCGAGATTTTTTTTCATGAAACAAGTGTGCCTTTGCCCAAAAAAGGTTGGGAAACACTGTTCTAGATCAGTGGCTCCTAACCTTTTTTGGCCCAGAGGCGCATTTGGAAATTTGAGAAATGGTTGTGGGCACCATGCAATACCCATTTCACAGAAGAAAATCTGCTCAGGGCAAACAAAACACCTATTTGTTGTTGTTGTTTAGTTGTTTAGTTGTGACCGACCTTGCTACAAATACAAATAAAACATAGACCAAAAAGCAGATACCCCACCCCAAACAAACAATCCCACCAAAAGCAAAACCATTTTTATAAGAAGAAAATAATAATTAGAATGGACAGGAAGCCTTGGTAGGCGCACCGAGGGTGCCATGGATGAAGTGGAGATTCTAATCAATTTGCAGAGCCTTGATGGGTGTGATCTTTTGTAGTTAGCAGAAACTTCCCCATTCCAAAACACACACACACAGCTCATTCAGGGCAAGCAGTCAACATGGATTTGGTTCCTATTTACTCTGCATCGAGTGCAATCCCACAACTGGTTTGGGAGGGGGTGTACACATGCCATTAGCCACAATCCCTGCCTATCCAGTGCTGGATTTACATCTAAGCAAAACAAGCCTAGGGCCCCACTCTCTTGGGGCCCCCCCCAAAAAAAATTAAAGGAAAAAAACACCTGGATGTACATTTCCAAAATATAAGATAAAAAAACAAATAAAAGAAAACCTACATACAGCAACAGTGTTTTGTATTGTGTAGGCTCCTATGATGTAAAGTAATGGGCCCTGCCCGCTAGCCTGCTCGCTAAAATATCACTGGTTTGCTCATTTCTGTATATAGGGTGCCTACATTCTGCATATGCAAATGGCTTTAGATACCTATTAGGTCCATAAATTATCATATAGTATATATTCAACACAAAAACAGCGACAATTTATTGTTGACAAGAGACAGCTGGACATACAAAGGGTCCCATTACCTTCAGTAGCTTATCAAACCTAAATCCGGCCCTGCGCCTATCCTATTGTTTTTAATCATATGCTGCATTTTGATGCATTTCCCCCCAAAAACCCAGCTTCGAGGAAAAGATCAACCTCAATCAGAACTGAGGAAAAAGAACGTACACACAACCTTCTTTAAAGTTCAAGCTCCTTGCCTTCACAGTTCTCGAGAAAACCTTTTAGGTGTGAAATTTAATTCGTCAAAAACAACTACCAAGTTTTTTTTGGGGGGGGTGGAAGGGCAGAAAAGGCCATAAAGGTGCGTTACCGTAAAACATGCTTACCACACTATTATAAGCCCCAAGCCCTCCTTGCGGGCGTCCCATAGGGGCATCCGGTTGGCAGCTGTGAGAACAGGATGCTGATCCAGTTGGCCGGATCCAGCAACTGGGCTCTTCTTGGGTCTCCCCTGTTGAGTTCAGCAGGGCTTACTCCAATGCAAGTGGGTGTAGGATGGTAGCCCCAGTTTTTGTTGGTGGTGGTTTGGTTTTTTGAAAAAAGGAAGATTGCCCCTTGATGTGTTGTTGTTTTTTTTACAGTTGGAGGCTGGCTTTCTTCTGTGCGCTCTCAGCTGGGGGTGGGCTTGTTGGGGAGGGTCTGGCTGGGGGCGGAGGGGCTGCTGGAAGCATCAGAGTAAAGCAAATAACTGAGGAACAGGGGGGCTGGGGAGTGGGGGTGGGGGTGTAGGCTGATCTCTGGGCAGCCAGAAACTCTTAAATGGATTCTTTCAGATAAAAGAGCCCCGGATACCTTTCTTTTCCTATAATGGCCCCTGAGGCTAATGTCTTAAAGAGGAAACAAAAGAATTGTTTTACATCACACAAGTGGGGCAAGGGACACAGTGGGTGAAAGAGGCACTTGAGTAATGCAGGCCTGTGCAGAGAGGGGTTAGGGAAGACGGGGAGGGGGGTGGGGAGGGGTGCAGCTGGGTCTAACTTCTGCTTTGCTGTGTGGCCTCTGCTGTTAAACCTTTTAACACCTTCTTTGCCTTTTTTTTGGGGGGGGGGAGAGGCTGGGCCATTGGCTGTGCCTCTGGGGCTTTCCCTACCACTTCCCCCCAACAGATGGGCCCTGTTGGCATAGCCACTCCTGCCTCTTCAGGGTCTTTCAGGCTTGTAATCCTTCGCTTGCTTGCTTTTTTTCTGGTTTAAAATGCACCCTATAAAATAATTCCGTTCTCTGAGTTGTTGTTTTCTTTTTAAAGGTGCCAATCTGAATATATTAAACATCGGCATATTCAAGGAATGGTTGTTGTTGTTTTATTTTAAAAGGCCCTTCTCTTTAAAGCAGGCCTGTTTGGCCAGGACATGAGAGACTGCGTGTGAAATTACTATCCCGTGTTGCTGCGAGAGCCGGGCTCCTCCGAATGGCTTCATCTGTGCAGCGCATCCTTTGTCTCGGCTGTCAGCTTTCCAGAGGTGGGAAGGGCAGGTGTGACAAGAGAGCAGAGGACGAGGGAGCCGAGAGAGGCAAAGGCAGCTCTGCAACTGCAGGGCAAGGGGGAAAGTATCTTGCGGCTGCTTTTCAACTGCCTCCCTCTTGGCTTCCCCACCTCCCTTAAATGGAAGGCTTTAAAATGAGGGGCTGGATTTCGGCCTCCTTGGGCTGTGCTTTCCATCTGTTTTTGATTAATGCAAGATTGAAATGTCAGTGACAGCTGTTCACACTGAATTGCAAATTTTTGAAAAAGGAAGTTCTAGCCCTTTAGAAAGCATAAACATCAATGACCGTATTAGATCAGCTCCAGTAACCTACCCAGTGCACTATTTCATTTAGGGCTGACAGAACCAGACCCTGAGAGGGCTTCTGTTTCTTTAAAAGTTTCGTGGAAGGCTGACAGCCACCAGATGAAGCTTGTCTGTCATAGTGAGAGAGGCAGTACCTGGAGGGATGTCCCCTTTTGTGCAACTCTGCAAAGTATCAGTATCTACTGGGTGCTGCCCTCAACCTTAATTTCCCTAATTGGGGGCTAGTGGTATAAATACTTCTTGATCATGTTGGACTAGGATCTGGGAGATCACGGTTCAAATTCCCACTCACCTATGAAGCTCACAAGGTGACCTTGGGCCAGTGAGTCACAGTCTCTCAATCTAGCCTACCTCCCAGGGTTGTTGTGAGAACGCAACTGGGAAGGGAAGAACCATGTATGCCACCTTTTTCTCCTTTGAGGAAAAGCGGGATATGAATGTAGAAACAAAACGATATGATCCCGGTTCTTTTTCCTTTCCAAATAGAGGACCATCCCAAAGGACTGGTTCCCTCGGTTCTGGGTGTAACTGTGCTGATTCTAATTGCTTGATGAGCTGCATGAAACCTAGCAAAAGCAATGATAATTGGGCAAATTAGCTAAACATACTACATAGATCAGATTTTGATGTTCTTTTGGGGAACCTGAAAAAACAGAAGTAAAAACAAGCAAGTTTTAAAATGCTAGATACTGCATGTCCGCGCTGGATGAATCTGCAGGTCCTGGGAACAATGAAAACAGAAGGTTTAACAGACTATGCTAATTAGATTACAAAGAGGCCTGCCTCAGAAGTTTCCAGTTATATAGGCCTTGCGTAGACAAAGTGGTGAATTTGGAGTGAGGTGGGGGGTGGAGAATGCAGCAAATGAAAATTAGGAGTTGCTTCTTCATTTCTAGTTTCAAAATGCCTATATGGTGCTTCCCCCACCCCATTCCCATAACTGGGTGCATGCTTGTTAGCGGCATGTTCTTTCTCTCTCTCACACACACATGCACTAATCTATCTTCAGGAGGCCCGCGTTACCTTCTCTGGGACCAAAGGCATTGGTCCTTATGACACAGTCAGTGCCGACTGCTGCTATGTGCTGTCCAGTGGGGACTGACATGTGATAAGGTCTTTATGGTGGCCGTTCCCCATTTGTGGAATGCCGCTCCCCCTCCCCACCCCACCCCACCCCCTGTGAGGTGTGTGTGTGTGTGTGTGTGTGTCTCCCTCCTTATTAACTTTCAGGAAGACTGTAGAAACATTTCTGTTTTCCCAGGCATTTGAAGGATGCAACATTCTGTTCCTAAACTCCTCCCCATAATTAGCTGTGCAGGTATGTGACTGTTTTAAATGTTTCCAAGTGTTTCAAAATATGTTTTTGTTTTATTTTTAATTGATTTGTTTTATCACTTCCATGTTTGTCGCCCATAGCTCCTATGCGAGGAAGGGCAAGGTATAAATTGAAATAAATTCATGCCCTGCAGCTAATGCATTTGTGAATGAGTCAATACCAAGAGAGACAGAGGCATCAGCAGAAGACCATGGCATTGCTGTTCCTTCAAGTGTTGGTGAGGCTGCAGAAAGGACATATTTTTGCCTCCTGCAGGGATGGTGAACCTCAGGAGTCCAAATGAGGCCCTGCAGATGTTGTTGACTCTCCCCAGGCTACATATTCACCTGAGCCACACCCCTCAGCAGCCCTGCTTTACACCCTCCTTGAGTGTCTTTGCAGGACTGGAATGTGTTTTTGAATTCTGGCACTGCTTCTTGCTTGCCTGGATGCAGGTCAGAGAGGAATCTGTGAGTGAGAAGGAATTAGCCCCTTTTCCAAAGGTAAAATTCACATTGATTGTGCTACCCAATGGGCTGAAACAGGCAGCAGGTGACTGAAAACACAGAAAGCATGGGGACATTTGTTAGTCCCCCCCATCATTAGAGTTGCCGCCCTCCCACTTTCTTCTCTCCCTATCCTATCTTCCTCCCCCCCCCCTTGTCTTCTGTCTTTAAAAAAAACACACAAAGGAAAACATTTCCCCATCTCTTCTAATGTAAGGCAACACACACTGCTGTCATGTTTAAGCACCATCGCCTCCAGGAAAGTGCCTTCATCCAAGTGATAGGAGCAGTTGCAGCTGTGGGAATGCACTTCAGTGGAGTGTGAACTTTATTCCTCCCCTTTGCAACTATTTAAATACTAATATCGAGCTTTAAAATGTTTTTCTTTTTTAAAGAGAAAGGGAGGAATGGAACTCACAGAGGCTTGCCTGATGGTAAGACCCACTGAACAGAGTAGGACGTAGGACTTGGCTTCCATGTATATGTGGCATAGAACCGGGCTGTTAAATGCCTAATAACTGTTGATAAACAGTTAATATCATGGAAGGTCAGGAAATTCATATGTTCCTGTCCAACAGCCTCACTAACCCAGTTAAAGCTGCACATGTGCTGCAGTTTCAGTCTGAGCTGTTGAGATTAATATGCAATATGTAAGTTATGTTGTAAAATGTGCCATGATATTAGGAATATCTGTTGAGCTAACACTGCCAAAGGACACTGGCGGTCTGTATTTCTTGGCTCTGAATTTTTCAAAGTGCAACTTTAATGTTGCGCTGAGATTTTTTTTGGGTGTGTGTGTGTGTGTGTGTGTGTATGTGCAGTGTGAATAGCCATAATGGAGCTGAGATGCAGCTCTGCTGAATGGAGTACAAAGAAAGCTTCTCAGTTAGGCCACTGGACACAGACCAAAGAGGTAGTTTTTCCTAGCTGTCTTGTTTCCACACTGATTCTCACAGTGTGGTGCCCAAAGTCACAGCAAGAGAGATGTTAAAAACCTGGTCTGGATTCTAGGGATGAGATGGATGGCAAAGGAATCGAACGTTAACTGCATTATCCATGTCTTGCTTATTTCAAGCCAATTTGACCAAAAAGCACTCAATAACCCATAAAATATTTAAGATCATTATGTCTGCAAGCTGCCCAAACTGGGAAGTGGGCTGTCTGTGTGAAAGTGGGCTGTGTTTTTGACAGCTGTTTTGTTTATATTTTATGTCCAAAAGCCTGCTTGTGCAAGATGTTACGTGTGCAAACGTGCACACAAAGCAAAATCCAGAACACAGTTAAAAATACTTACCTGTGTGCTTGGTCGTGCCCATGCTTTCATACTATGAAGAAGGCATCCTTCCAGCAGAGATTATGCATGTGTTTTCCTGTTAGCTGTTTATCAATGGAATATGCATAATACGATCTGAAATAATCTCCACGACCAGGCATCATGTAAGTGATAGGTAACAGTCCGTGTATGGAGAATGGGCCCACACCTACTAGGCACACCTCTTCTGTCAGCTATGCTCCTCTCACCTTGTATGAATTGGGCGAAAGGTTTAAACCAGGCATAGGCAAACTAGGTCCTCCAGATGTTTTGGTACTACGACTCCCATCATCCCTAGCTAACAGGACCAGTGGTCAGGGATGATGGGAATTGTAGTCCCAAAACATCTGGAGGGCCAAGTTTGCCTATGCCTGGTTTAAAGAGGAGAGCTTGCTTTTCCTGCATAAGCTCCGCCCCCCCTGCTGCCCATGATTGAGACTCCTGCATGATCAGGATTCTAAATACCAAGGCAGGTGGGGAGCAGTCTCCCCTCATCAGACTGCATGGAGTAGGGGTAGGAGCTGGTGGAGCTGAGGCCAACAAACCCAAGCCCAGGCTTCCCCTCCAAGCGCTTGGAAGAAAACACTGCCAATAGAACTGGCAGATCCCAAACAGGACAGTGTGCTGACACTGTCTCCAACACTTGTTCCAGAAGGAGGATCTTCCAAAACAGCCCTTATTTGCAGCAACTATTAAAACCACAGCAGCTCATATCTGGTAATCTGGGTCTGAAGATCGACTCTGCCACCAGTAGGAGCTGCCATATATCAAGCCTGCTTCCTCTTCCGCAGCCTCCAATGAAACGTGACGTGGCCTTGCCACTCTCCCATCTGTTTCCCCTGAAAAAGATCCACTTTCCCACCCCATTATTTGTTGCCAGGGCTTCTGCCTTGAAACCTTCATCTGGCCACCATATCTTCTGTCGACATCTGCCCACCCCCGGTGCAGAGTTCTGGGTCGCTGTCTCCCTGGCATTTTGACTTTGTTCTCTCCCCTGCTTCCCTACGCCTGTGATCACCTCATTATTATGTCATCCCTTTCCTTTCCTGACTCGGCAGGAATCGGCAGCAACTTCCCTCTCCATCTGCTGCTGCAGAAGGTGCCTGTGTGGTGCAGAGAGCCGCCCTTCCCCCCAGCGCTCTTTCCCCCTTCCTCTTGCTACCCTCCACAACCTTTTAAAGTGTCAGCTGTCCCTTATACCCCCCCACCCACTTTCTTGCTCCTCTAACACAGTCACACGAGATGGGCTGATGGCATTCCTCTGCGGCTCAAAGGAAACGTGTCCAAGGTTTAAGCTGATCTATCTCGGCACACCATCCTGTATGTCTTTTGCCTCTCACCAGGGACCCCCCAAAGGCTGTTATTCCACGGCCTCTTCATCTGTCCTTGACTCAGCTGCAGCTGGCAGCAATAAGTCTTGCAAATCTCGCCCTGCTATTAAACCACCCCTTTGCTTGCAAAAAAAAAAAAAAAAAAAAAAAGGAAAGCGAAATCTGTTCCGTTGGGCCCCGCTTGTTAGACACAGGAGCCGTCCTCTGGCTTTCCTTTCCTTGCCCTTCCTCTGCAATCTTGAACCCGCCCTGAGTGCACTTATTGCACAGAGGGAGGTAGCATAATTGGACAAAATGCATCCTAAAACAATGTGTGTGCTTGAGAGGAGCGGAGTGTTTGGGATAGGAGACGGAGGTTTCCTGTTTCAACAGGAGGGGCAGAGTGCCTGCCATTTGTCACAGATGGGGAAGCATCCGGTTCCCCTCCTGAATTCCACACAAACACACACACCAGCGCAACAGCTCCAGCTCTCTGTATGGGGCTGGCGGGGAGGCACAAGCACAGGCAATCAGCTCCACACTTGCAATCTGGTCGCCTTATCTCATCAAGTGGGAGCCCTCCTGACCTCAGATTCCGGAAAGGGCTGTAACTCTGCTGGCCAGGCTCCCCTGGTGGACTGGGACTGGATCTCCTCCTTGGATCTCCTTGGGTTTGTCAGTCCCCTAGGAAAGCATTTAAGGGGCATCACTCAAGGGATGGCAATTTAATGAATTGGCCCTTTCCTGCTTCCACATTTTTATTTTATTGCCCTGGAGCCTGACTAATTCTCCTCCTGCTTTGAATAAACAGGGTTTCATTCTGGAGGCCTTCCAAGCTTCCTAGGCAGCCCTTCCTGTCTCTTTAACCCTTTCCGTGCACTCACTGTGGTAGGAAAACCACAGGGCAGGCTGCTGTTATCACTCTCCCATCAGCTAAAAATCTGTTTTGTGCTTGCAGCCTTCTAAGAGCAATAGAGCATGTCCTGTTGCTTGTCTGACTGCACACTTCTCCATCTGTGCTTGGCTTGGATGGTTGTTTCCAGAGAGTGATGCTTGAGGAGAGCTGTTCGGCCCTGTGGAGCCTTCAATGGGGGGTTCCACAGGATTCGATTTTATGCCACATGCTGTTTAACATCTGCATGAAACCACTGAAAGGGGTTATCTGGAGTTTTGGAGCACATTGTCAGCAACATGGTGATGACAAACAGCTCTACTTCTCCTTTACATCTGCAGGTGAGGCAGTGGAAGTGCTGGACTGTTGTTTTGCTTTGGTAATGGACTGGATAAGAGCCAATGAGCTGAAGGTCAATCCAGATAAGACTGTTACTGGGTGGTTCCCTAGACCGGAAAGATGGGAGGCTGCCTGCTCTTGATGGGGTTACGTTCCCTCTGAAGGAGCAGGTATGTAGCTTGGGGGTACTTCGGAATCCATTTCTAACACTTCAGACTCAGGTGGCCTCAGTGGCATGGAGTGCCTTCCATCAGCTTTGTCTGGTGGCCCAGTTGTGACCCTGTTGGGACAGGGATAGCCTAACTTCTGTCATCTATGCTCTGGTAACCTGTAGGTTAGATGACTACAATGCATTAAGCGTGGGGCTGCTTCTGAAGATGGTTTGGAAACTTCAGCTGGTGCAGAATTTGGCAGTCAGGTTGCATATGGGGCAAGATGGTGTGAGCATTTCATGCCAGTTGTAGTGTGACTGCACTGGCTGTCACTTTGTTTCTGGGCTCAGTTCAAAGTGTTGGTTTTGATCCATAAAACCTTCAACAATTCAGGACCACAATATCTCAAAGACTGCCTCTTTGCATACAAACGACCCCAAACCCTGTGATCACCATCTGAGGTGATCATCATTGGGTGCTTCCTCCACGGGGCCAGCGGGTGGCAACGCAAAAACGGGCCTTTTCTGCGGTGGCTCCCCAATTGTGGAATGCTCTCACTAGGGTGCTTTTGTTACATATCTTTTGGTGCTAGGCAAAAACATTCCTCTTCTCCCAGGCCTTTGGCTAATTAAACAATCTATGGCCTTTTAAACTCTGTGGGGGGTTGTTGTTGTTGCTGCTGCTTTTGCCTGGCTGAAATCTGTCCTTGAATTCTGATTATGGTTCTTCCTTGACTGGATGGAGAATAAGGAAGAGCTGTGCTGAAAGCAGCCTACAGTACAAAGGCAACATTCATTGTTCTGCCCACTTCTGCCTCTGGCCCCATCTTCCGCTGGCATGTGGGCCCCAGAAGGCTGCTCATAAAAGATCTCAGGCTGCAGAAGGTTGCCCAGTGCTGTAACGCATGACCCAACAGAGAAGCACGTTCGCCCTCAGGCACACTTTTGTCAAGGGGAAGGACCGTGCAATTTGTGCGCGTACACTGAGGCCCGCATTGCGTTTCGCACGCACAGTGGCAGGTGTGGAGCTTGAACTCAGTGCCCCGCCGCACAGACACAAATTCTGGTTGGCTATGGTGGCAAAATGGCTGTCATGTTTCTTCAGGGTTGGAGGTGCTGCTGGCTCCCCACTCCTTTTTGCTGGTTTTTAGACGTTTGCTGCTAAAAATAATAAGCATCCTTCCCCCTCCCCCACTATCTCTCATGCTCCCCCCCCTCTTTCTTTCTTTGAAACAGGTCAATGGGCCCTTTGTGGTTAGAAGCTGAGAATCGTACAGCTGCTCTCCTTTGCAGAAAGATGAAACATGCTTCCAGCTCAAACAACACTGATTCTGGGAGGCAAAAATCATTCGCAGCCACCCCTCCCCAGTTTACTTCAGGTGACTCATTCTGCACTTGCTGGATGGCTTGTGACTCACTACATTGTTAGACATGTCAGTGTGATGGAAAATGATCTGCTTGAGCTCTGATCCCGGGAGACCGTTTCCTGCTTGCAGCCTCCCCACTGGGGAAGTCTGAGGACCTACGGGGTTTTTATTTCTCTCCCTTTCCCTCCCCCCCCATCTCCCACCCCTTAGACAAAGTGGGTGGATGCAGATAGAGAAGATCTTATTGGAAGAAAGAGAAGAGGGTTGAGGTCAATGGAATCTGTTCCCTCTAGCTGACTGTGTCCTGTGCTGGCTCTGTGTGTGACTTTATCTGAATAGTAATTAGTTGGCAGGAAAAGACGAGCAGCTGAAGAGACAGGATGTGGTTGCTGTGCAAGATCTGAGGTCTGTTTCGGATGGGAAGGAGAAGGGACAGAGCGAAATGCAAGTCACACCTGCCTGATAGACGCTGCTGAGATCTTCAGCGGGGAAGCATACTTGTCGCTTGTAGGAAGGATTCAAGCAACTGCTTTTTTGCTTTACCTTGAGGCAACCCCCACCCCTACAAAACACACACACACACACCACACCATGGTGTGATCTGTGTGAAACTAGGTCAAGTGTAGGGTTAGTAGTGCATTCACTTACACAGCCACTCAGCATTCGGATAACCTGAAAGCTGATGGTGGTTGAATTCCCCAAGAGGACCACTTGTCTTTTGGATGAGCAGTACCTCGACACACAGGAAATTATCTTTCTTTCCCTGCACCAAAGCGTCTATATGGCACAGTTACTAACTGATATAGCTATCTATCTGTCTGTCAGAAGTAAGTGTTCCGGTTTGCGAACGTTTTTCATAAGCTGAACATCCGATGCGGCTGTTGGCTATTGTATCCGGGGCGCCTGCACCAATCGGAAGCCACGCCTTGGTTTTTGAACGTTTTGGAAGTCAAACGGACTTCCAGAATGGATTAAGTTCAAGAACCAAGGTTCCATTGTATGTCAATACAGTAAAGGTATGGAGGATACGGCAGCTCCATAAAGGCAGCCAAAATGCAGAGCAGAGTATTGCGGAGGCTTTTCCAATACAGTGGTACCTCTGGTTAAGAACTTAATAATAATAATAATAATAATAATAATTTATTATTTGTACCCCGCCCATCTGGCTGGGTTTCCCCAGCCACTCTGGGCGGCTTCCATAAAAACCAAAGATACAGTAAAATATCACAGATTAAAAACTTCCCTAAACAGGGCTGCCTTAAGATGCCTTCTGAATGTCAGGTAGTTATTTATCGCTTTGACATCTGATGGGAGGGCGTTCCACAGGGCGGGCGCCACTACCGAGAAGGCCCTCTGCCTGGTTCCCTGTAACTTGGCTTCTCGCAATGAGGGAACCGCCAGAAGGCCCTCGGTGCTGGACCTCAGCGTCCGGGCAGAACGATGGGGGTGGAGACGCTCCTTCAGGTATACTGGGCCGAGGCCGTTTAGGGCTTTAAAGGTCAACACCAGCACTTTGAATTGTGCTCGGAAACATACTGGGAGCCAATGTAGGTCTTTCAAGACCGGTGTTATGTGGTCTCGGCGGCCGCCCCCAGTCACCAGTCTAGCTGCCGCATTCTGGATTAGTTGTAATTTCCGAGTCACCTTCAAAGGTAGCCCCACGTAGAGCGCATTGCAGTAGTCCAAGCGGGAGATAACTAGAGCATGCACCACTCTGGCGAGACAGTCCGCGGGCAGGTAGGGTCTCAGCCTGCGTACCAGGTGGAGTTGGTAGACAGCTGCCCTGGATACAGAATTGACCTGCGCCTCCATGGACAGCTGTGAGTCCAAAATGACTCCCAGGCTGCGCACCTGGTCCTTCAGGGGCACAGTTACCCCATTCAGGACCAGGGAATCCTCCACACGAGCCCGCCCCCTGTCTCCCAAAAACAGTACTTCTGTCTTGTCAGGATTCAACCTCAATCCATTAGCCGCCATCCATCCTCCAACCGCCTCCAGGCACTCACACAGGACCTTCACTGCCTTCACTGGTTCTGATTTAAAGGAGAGGTAGAGCTGGGTATCATCTGCATATTGATGAACACCCAGTCCAAACCCCCTGATGATCTCTCCCAGCGGCTTCATATAGATGTTAAAAAGCATGGGGGAGAGGACAGAACCCTGAGGCACCCCACAAGTGAGGGCCCAGGGGTCTGAACACTCATCCCCCACCACCACTTTCTGAACACGGCCCAGGAGGAAGGAGCGGAACCACTGTATGACAGTGCCCCCAGCTCCCAGCCCCTCTAGGCGGTCCAGAAGGATGTTATGGTCGATTGTATCAAAGGCCGCTGAGAGATCCAGCAGAACTAGGAAACAACTCTCACCTTTGTCCCTAGCTCGCCGGAGATCATCAACCAGCGCGACCAAGGCAGTTTCAGTCCCATGGTGAGGCCTGAATCCCGATTGGAAGGGATCCAAATGGTCCGCATCCTCCAGGCGTGCCTGGAGTTGTTCAGCAACCACGCGCTCAATCACCTTGCCCAAGAATGGAAGATTTGAGACTGGGCGATAGTTGGCCATACTGGCCGGGTCTAAAGATGGTTTTTTAAGAAGCGGTTTAACGACCGCCTCTTTCAGCGGATCTGGGAATGTTCCCTCACAGAGGGAAGCATTCACCACCCCGCAGAGCCCATCGCCCAGCCCTTCCCGGCTTGCTTTTATTAGCCAGGATGGGCAAGGATCAAGGAGACAGGTGGTTGGTTTCACGCGTCCAAGCAGCCTGTCCACATCCTCGGGGGTAACGGATTGAAATTGATTCCATGCAACTTGACCAGACAGAGCTCCAGCACTCTCCCGCCCCAGCCCTGCTCCCACGGTGGTGTCTAGCTCCTTCCGAATATGAGTGATTTTATCTGCAAAAAACTTTGCAAAATCGTTGCAGGAGATCTTGGGGTCTTTACAAGGCCCCGATGGTAAAGGTGGTTCCGTTAAATTGCGAACCACCTGAAAGAGTCTCCTGCTACTATTTTCTGCAGATGCAATAGAGGCGGTGAAGAAAGTCTTCTTCACCGTCGCTATCACCACTTGGTAGGCTCGACATTGAGCTCTAACCTGTGTCCGGTCAGATTCGGAGTGAGTTTTCTGCCACCGACGCTCTAGCCGTCTCAGTGATTGTTTCATCGCCCTCAGCTCCGAAGAAAACCACGGGGCTGTCCGGGCTCCATGCAATCGGAGAGGGCGCTTCGGAGCCAGACAGTCGATAGCCCTGGTTAACTCCGCATTCCAGCGGGCCACCAGGGAATCAGCTGAAAGGCCATCAACATGGGATAAAGCATCCCCTACCACTCTCTGGAAACCATTTGGATCCATTAAGTGGCGGGGGCGGACCATCCGAATTGGTCCCACCTCCCTGCAGAGGGGAAGGGTCGCGGAGAAGTCCAGTTGCACCAGGAAGTGATCTGACCATGGCACTTCTTTTGTTTCACTTTTACTTAGTGTCAGATCACCTACGTCACTAGAGGTGAACACCAGGTCTAAGGCATGTCCATGACTATGAGTTGGGCCAAACTTATTCAGGGACAGCCCCATGGAGGCCATGCTTTCCACGAAGTCCCGAGCAGCCCCTTGTAAGGTCGTGTCGGCATGGATGTTAAAATCCCCTAGGACAACCAAACTAGGTGTCTCCAGGAGAAAATCCGCCACGACCTGAAGCAGCTCGGACAGGGAATCCTTGGTGCAGCGGGGAGGTCGGTACACCAAAAGGAATCCTGTACTGCCCCTATTGCCCAACTTCCAGAACATGCACTCAGAGAACTGGATCTTCCCAGTAGGACGCCCGGTGCAAGCTAGTGACTTCCTAAAAATCACTGCAACCCCCCCTCCCCGCCCACATGACCTGGGTTGCTGTGCATAAGAGAAACCTGGTGGGCAAGCAGCGGCAAGGACAGGCCCATCTGCTTCCTCCAACCAGGTCTCTGTCACACATGCCAGGTCAAATCCTCCATCCACAATCAAGTCGTGGATGGCAGTGGTTTTATTCATCATTGACCTGGCATTGCACAGCAACACTTTCAGGTCATGTGGGTTCCCCCTGTTGATTCCAGTATCCATCCGGTCAAGGCCAGACCCGGAGGCAGGGATAGTCTTCAAACAACGACTAAACCTGCCTCCTTCGTTCTGGAGGTCCGTTCTTAACCTGAACTGTTCTTAACCTGAAGCACCACTTTAGCTAATGGGGCCTCCCACCGCCGTGCGATTTTTGTTCTCATCCTGAAGCAAAGTTCTTAACTCGAGGTACTATTTCTGGGTTAGCGGAGTCTGTAACCTGAAGTGTTTGTAACCTGAAGTGTCTTAACCTGAGGTACCACTATATGCTGTTTAGAAGGGGAAGTTCTCAGGCACTGCTGGGACTTTGGTCTTGGAAGTTCCCTCTCACTCAGTGGTGGGCCTTCTATTTTGGCCTCCCAGGCCTCTCTGTTTGACCCATGAGGCCATTTTGGTCAAGCCATGTCCACCTGGCATCACATGACATTGGCACGGCTTGAATTCAGTGCTTATCCTGTCACACTTTCAGCAGGGACCAGATGCACTCTGGAGCTCCCTGTCATTCCCAAGTGCATCTTATTCCTTCCAAAAGCAGCGCAGTAGGGAAAGGCACCCAATTCAACCAGTGCTATAGCAACAATCAGAGCACACCTGCAACTGTTGCTTTATAGCCATGGCTTTGCCTTTCCCGTGCCTGATGTCACAGGACATCAAATGATTGGCAGCTGGACAGCCCCATCCACCTGCCAATGTGGCTCACAGAGACCGACTACTTTCAGATCCAGTCCTCTGGCCAAAAGTGGTTACTTACCCCTGCTCTAACTAGATTCTGCTGCTGCTTACAATTTATTTTGTACCGTTGGTTAAAGGTAAAGGTAAAGGGACCCCTGACCATTAGGTCCAGTCGTGGCCGACTCTGGGGTTGTGGCGCTCATCTCGCTTTATTGGCCGAGGGAGCTGGCGTACAGCTTCCGGGTCATGTGGCCAGCAGGACTAAGCCGCTTCTGGCGAACCAGAGCAGCGCACGGAAACGCCGTTTACCTTCCCGCCGGAGCGGTACCTATTTATCTACTTGC